TAACATGGTTGAGATCACTCTAAACCATTTAGGAATGCCAATCAATTAAAATCAAGCCAAATTACATTTATTGGGAATTTTCTAGTCTATCTAGGTGTTGTAGTGAAATAGTTTCTTGTTAATTAAAAGTTCTAAATAATTTAGAAAATTCAATTTACTTTGGATTTTATATGAAATCTTATTTCTCAAACCCAAACAATTTAGGAATCCAAATTTAATAAGAATTAGCACCAATCTAGGGCTTGGTCGAAAACCTATTCAATAAGGAAAGCAAGTTGCAGCTAGGGTAGTTTTTATGGAAACTAGGTAGCTTCGGCCACTTATTTGCTATGCTACCCCTACTACCCATCATCCAAGAGTTCTAAACTCTTTTCCATGCTTTCATATGCCATTGGTTATGATTCTTCAATCACAAGTAGCAATTACTTTGACTTGTATAAAACCAGTCCACTAAACTTGGTGATCAAGAAAACAAATCCTGAAATCTTGGTGAACAAGTTTTCTAAGATTTCCAATTTTGATTACCAAGTAGATTTTCATTAAAATCTTAGTAAGTTTTCAAAATCTCTTGACTTTTAAAAATGTTAGTTACATCAAGAAAACCAATTACCATAATCATATTAGGGCAACCATGTATCATATGCATATTATACATGCCCAATCGCCACTGGAAGATTTCTAGGCTAAATTTGTCATCAAATTTTGAATGACCAAATAAACTCCAAAAATTCAGAAATTTTTATACAATGATCATCAATATGTCTATTTTAATGTGTTATAATTTCATAGTATATAATATCCCTAGAGTGAGAAACAATTTTCATAATATCACTATAGCATAATTTTCCTAATATGGTCATAAAGCAAACAAAATATTTATTGAACATGAAAATGATATCCAAAAATCATAAAATTTAAACCCTGTCATCCTAAGATATCATGCTTTGATATTATAAAAGAATCCAATTAAAATAATATAGAAGAAATTAATTTTCTAGCCTTTTCATCACAACAATAGATGCAATCAAAATAGTTTTGATATCATGAACAACCGAACAAATTTCTAAGTTGCATAATTTATATTGATAAGGCTCTGATACCAATTGAAGGGAATTATGCATCAATATACAAAGTTAAAGGAACAAAATTTTTGTAAATTTTAATTCCTGAAAGCCAAAATCAATCAACAAAATCATACAAACATACTACTTCACAAACATGCATGCCTAGGTTTCAGCTTGGATGTCGAAATTCCTATGGTTGAACTTAGTGACCTTTCAAATAGTTTCCCAAGCCAAAAAAACTACCCAAGCGTTTAATCTCTAATAGTAATCCACACAAACTCTTATGAAAGAACCTTCTCTAAAGTTTGACAAAACTCAAAGCCATGCTCTAGCTAGTAAGTGTTTTCAAGATCTCTTGTATCCTCTCAAGTTTTGCTTAGTGTTCCAAGAGAGGTAGCTTGATGTTCCATTTATAAGGGAAGCATTTAGGCATATTAGGTTTAATATGTAAAATGCAAATTTCCACTATTATCCCCATACTTGTTGAATGTCCCAAATAAGGGAAAACTCTTCCTATTGTTTTATTTCCTTTATTTTTTATCATAGGCAAATCAAATTAAGTTCAACTTAATTTGTTCCAATTTTAATCTTTCACAATTATCCTATTGTGTGTGACCCATTAGGTTCTTTAACATGTTGGTAATAGACATAAGCATTGTAAGTCTTAATATTCAACTATGGATGAAACAAACTCTTTGTCTTCATCACTAATTCTCCAATTAACCAATCTTATATTTGTAGATCATGATCAATGTTAGCTTTATTGTCATGACCCCCAATTGCTAAAGAAAAGTCAATATGGCTTGACAACCTATCCGTGAATGGTCTTAGAGTATAATTAATATCCTTTTATCACATAGTATCTCAGTTTGAATATTGAGTATGGTTTAGCATTTACTCAATCTTGTTCAAGCATGTTAAGTCTTGTCATTGACATTAACTCATAAATAAGCTTTAGAACAATTCTAATCTCTTATTTTACTTTGGCCAAAGATTTCTCAAGTTAATTCAATCAAGACTAATTGAGATACTTTCTTGATCACATAAGGTGATGAATCCCATCTTGATTACTTTATGCAACTTCATATGCCTCATGTTATGCCCAACAATACTCGAATAGAGCATTCTTGGTTAGAACTATAAGTAAAATCAAAGTATAATATTCATCATATAAGATCATAAGTAGTTCAAGTCAAAGGATCACTTATACAACCTTCACATGAGAATGTATCTATAGACACTATGTGAACTATCATGTAGCATTCTCATATTAGGTTATGTTAAGTGAATTTGTTCTTATAACAAGTACCCACACATTGGCTCAAGTTTACCTAAACTTCAACTTATAAGATCAATTGCTTGCTTCATAAGTAAGAACATAATCATGTGCTAGCACTACAATAAATTTGGTTATTAGTGGTGCATCAAATAATGTCACTAAATATTTGTTATTTGTCACCTTATATATTCCGTGACAAAAAATTAAACATCATGACATTTGTCACATTTGCACCATCGTTAAAGGTCTAATATGACAATAACAAAATATCGTCACCTATTGTAAATCTACTATGACAATAAAATAAAACATCACCTTATGTTTTTTATGTTTTGTGGCATTAGTTTTCATCAGCTATCTATGACAAAAAAGTCATTGAAAGCTATAATCATCACAAAAAAAAATGAGAAAAATGAAAAAATTCAAAATATTAGTGACTAAAGGTAAATCGTCACAATATTAGACACAAAATTATTGTCACCAATGATTGTAAGATAATGTTTACCATGACAATAAAATCAAACGTCACCTTATGCTTTAATATTTGTGATGTTAGTTTTAGTCAGCTATTTATGAACAAAAACATCATTAAAGGCTATAATCATCACAAAATAAATGATAAAATCAGATATATTAGTGACGAAAGATATATCGTCACAATATTAGTGACACAATTATCGTCATGAATGATTATAAGATAATATCAAATGTGACAATAAAATCAAACATCACCTTGTGCTTTTTTTATGACGTTAGTTTTCGTTAGCTATTTATAAAAAAGAACATGATTGAAAGTTATAATCGTCACAAAATAAATGATAAAATCAAATATATTAATAACGAAAGGTAAATCATCACAGTATTGGTAACACAATTATCATTACAAATGATTGTAAGATAACGTCAAATGTGATAATAAAATCAAATGTCACATTATGCTTTATTTTTTTGTGACATTAGTTTTCATTAGCTATTTATGAAAAAATGTCATTAAAGGCCATAATCATCACAAAATAAATGATAAATCTAATATATTAGTGATAAAAAGTAAATCATCACAGTATTGGTGACATAATTAACGTCATTAAATCCTATAGGTAAAACATTTTTGTGTAATAATCCAATGTAGTATTCTTGTAAATCCACCAAATATTTAAATTGGTTTTTAAATGTAGTATATTCTTTAAAGTCTACCTTAAAATAATATAGAAATAATATTGTTTAAAAAATAAAGAGTCATAACTATGAAATAGATAGTCGTCAAAATCTTATTTTCAAGCTCTCAATCCAACTCGTGTCGAGGGTGATTGTGTTAATGGTGAGATTGTGTTACTTGAAGCTGCAATAAATAAATAATAGCCAATATCAAAACAAACCAAAATACACATAACAAGATCAAAGCAAATATAAAAAACAAACTAATCCATTTTATGCATATGCAATTTTTAAATGAGGCCCTATTAAAGAATAGTTTTTGCCAAGAAATTGACAGGTAAACTTCTCAATCTACAATGTTGATACTAATCATAGGAAATAGGCAAAAGATGGGTAGTTCATGTTTAAACAAGTAATCACCATCACCTCAAGCCTATTTTTAAATTAATTCAGATAAATCATGGGAAAGTTATAATTGCACTGCATTCAAGGAGCTATGTCATTATCATGCTTTGATATATCTCGCATTATATGAATGACATTTTATTATCCAAATCAAGACAAAAAGGTAGAAGTTGTAATAATAACTTAAACTAAGATATAAATATGCAAACAAATAAAGTAGAAACACATAGACACAGCACAAGCAGCCACGTCAAATCAAGAATCACAAGAATCGGGCAAAAGCCCTTTATAAAGAATGTAAAGATGAAGCTTCCCTTTTATACATATAGTTGTAACTTGTTAGAAGATGAAATTTGTAGTGGGACTATGAGAGTTTTTCTAATTTTGAAATTGACAAGTAAACTTCATAAAGACTTAGCAAATAAAGAAAAATCAATTGATTTTTAAAATCCGAGTAATAACAAAAGTACCAATTCTCAGTTTTGAATTAGGAATCAAAGAAAACCTAGTTATATAATGCTTGCAACATCACAACCACAATAGAATCAAGTATATACCTAGAACTAGAGATGTTAGTGACAAGTAGCAAAACCATACAGCACCAAATGTGTTTGTTCTAGGATAAAGATGAGCTTTAGTTCTAAAAAATTCTCAGCTGACCCTTTTCTTTTGAATGGGATAAGAAGGATCACTTTTTCCAACTTGCCAAAAAAAATGCATGCAATTAGTACAAAAATACTAGTAGAAGTTTAAATTTCATCTTTTGATTTGGTAAAAAAGTTTCATATAATGACCCAAGAGAGGAACATGTAGTAACATTAATGTAATATACACATTCATTGTCATTTCTCAAAGGAGAGGAATCATGAAGTACAATGTCTAATGCAGCATGATGGGTGAAATTTATTAACTTAACAACTATCTTTTCTCTCCTAAATTTAAGTCCAAAAAAACTAAAAATTTTTTTAATTCCTTAGAGCAACTTCAACAACTTGTAGATGTAGAACACTTGAGTAAATTCTCAAGGAAAAATGGATGGATAAACTTCTACATATCACAATAATAAACTTTCAACAACACAAAAAAGAGAGTTTACCATACCACAACAACTTTTTCAACCTTCAATTCCACTTTCTAATTTGATCCTTGGCTAGCCACCAAAGTCCCTTGCACCTGTATAAATGCACCAGTAGAAATCAACCCAAATTTTACCTACAAGCTTGAACACAAAAATAATTGGCAACTATATCCAACAAAGACATATCTTAAATAAAAATTTGAGAATTTAACTTTGCACAGCAAATCGAATGGGATTGGATACTAATAAAAAAAAATGCTAAAAGACTTAAACAAATTTTATAAAAAAGAAAGAACTTTTTCATTCAATTTCATGGAAAAAAAAGAATAAACATAATTATTCAATTTGTTAGTACCTGATTGTAGCCTTCAGTGTCTGAATTCATGATCCATTACATGTTTAAAAGGCATGAACCATCATTTACCTATAAAATATAAATCATCAATTTTAATTAATTGAAAAAAGAAAGAAAAAAAAATTAATTGTTACCTTAAGGAATGTTATGCTACTTCGAACCTGGAGAATCTGTACGCAACCCATAACCACCATAGTTTGGTCGACCCAATCCAAACCTTCGTTGGGTCTTCCTTTTATGTTGACAATTTTAAACTTTTTCCTAAACTTATCAACTGTGTTCTTTATTTGGATAACTTTTTTTCTTGGAATTTCATTTTTGTCCTTTCTCTAGACTACAGTGCTACGGAAATAACAAAACGAAAACATCATTTTCAAGGAATGGATGAGTGGAAGGAGGATGCTCGACGAGGTAGTGGTGGGAAGAGGCAAGGAGTTGTTAGGTTTTTGGAACAGAAGGGAAGGAAATAGAGGGTAAAATAGGGTTTGAACTAGAGAAGAGCAGCTGGTCCTAAAGCAGCAGCAGTCGCCAATTTTTGGTATTCTTTCTTTAGCTTAGATTAGGCTATTTATTTGCTACTGTGCTTTTAACGTATTTTTTTTCTTGACCGTTTATTTATTTAATTTTTAATTGTAAAAAGTACATATTATTAGATTAAAAAATATAAATTTGGCCAAAATTTAAAAATATAAAATTTGAGTTCTCAAAAAATTATATATTCTCTTTTTTATGTCAAAATTATATTTTTTAATATTTAAAATTTAAAATTTAAAATTTTTATTTTTTAATATTAAAAATTATAAAATTTTAATTTTAATATTAAATACATTAAAATCAAAACTTTTTTCTTAAATTCATAAAAATCATTACATTCCAAATATTTGGAGACAAAAAAAATTATATTTTTTTAAAGATAAGACACATTACTAATTTAAAATTAATTAATTTAATTTAACATATAATAGCATATAAATTACACACACATTTAAAATTTTCAATGTAAAATATTATTTAATGCAAGATAGTGAACTTTACTTATACGAATTTCTCATATGAATGGTGTTATTTCTTTGTCTAAAATCTTTGCCTTATTTTTTTCCTTAATCTTCTGTTTCTTAAACCTTTGAAATTTATTGGCCAAAAAAACACTCTAAACTTTGTACCTTTTTTTAGGTGATTTGGATGATATCTAGAATCTCAACCTTACCCTTCCTCCTCAAAGGTACCCTCTTTCTCTTTCTCTCTGCATGTACTTTTATATTTATACAGAATCATTTTTCTGAGGGTGTAGTTTAGGAAATTTTCAATTAAAATTATTTTTTTATGAATATTAATAATTATTTAAAATTTATTTTTTACTTAAAAGTTATTAGTATGGTCAAATGTAGTTTTTTTCTATTTAGATGTATATAATCTAAGGAAAATTGTCACTTATAAATTACACATTAATTGAAACTTATTAGTGACGAATAAATAACATTATAACATCATTTAAAAGTTTGTGACATTTATGTTATTGTCATATAACACCACACATTAACGTAATCAAATTGCAATATCATTAATAGTAAACTAAAATATTCAATTTGTGACAAAAATTCATAACATCACCTTAAATCTATTAGAAAAAATTCATCACAGTTAAAATTTTAAATTGGTGATAAAATTATAATGTCACCTAAAATAAAAACAAAAACATCACAAGGAAATTTTCCACCAAATAAATTTGGCGGTAAAAGTTTGTGACATTTATGTTATCATCATATGACACCATACATTGACGTGATGAAATTGCAACGTTATTAATAGTTAACTAAAGTGTTCAATTTATGACAACTATTAATAATGTTACCTATAATCTATAAAAAAAAAATTTGTCATAGATAAAATTTTAAATTGGTGATGAAATTATAACATCACCTAAAACAAAAAACATCACAAAAAAAAAATTTTCCCACCAAATAAATTTAGGGGTAAAAGTTTGTGACATTTATGTTATCGTCATATAACACCATACATTAATGTGACGAAATTATAATGTCATTAATAATTAACTAAAGTGTTCAATTTGTGACAAAAATTAATAATGTCACCTAAAATCTATTAAAAAATTAATCACAAATAAAATTTTAAATTGGTGACAAAAATTATAACATTAGCTAAAATAAAAAAAATCACAAATAAATTTTTCACCATATAAATTTGGCAATAAAAGTTTGTGGCATTTATGTTATCATTATATAAACCATACATTAACGTGATGAAACTACAATGTCATTAATAATTAACTAAAGCATTTATTTTGTGACAAGAATTAATAACATCACCTAAAATCTATCAGAAAAATTTGTCAAAGATAAAATTTTAAGTTGGTGACAAAATTATAACGTCACCTAAAATAAAAAAAAATGTCACAAAAAAATTTCCCACCAAATAAATTTGGTGGTAAAATTTGGCAATAAGATTTTGGTGACATTATCATGTGATGATTTTATATATCATCATATAAAATATCAAAACAATATAAAAATGTGATGAAATATAATTTTCATCACCTTTTACATACTTTGCGTGATGAAATATAATGTGTCACTTAGAAAAATCATCACAACTTGCCAGATTTATTGTAGTGTAGTCTCAATAACTTATGTCAATGTCCTCTTATTGATAAAGCATCGATTAGGAACTATTATGCAATGATGATCTCATAATTACAATCTCATTGTAATCCCTTACAAAGTTTTATTTACATTTCGAGGAGTTTATCATATAAGCATCAACATTAATATACATGTAAATAAGCTCAATGATAAATAAATAAAACCTTTATAAGATATTAAATATCAAAGTTCTACAAATATGGCAATGTCTTATAGCCAAAGTATGATTCAGGTTGGAAGGCAAATACCAATAGGTCTCCCATTAAATTGTGAGATTGTTGACATATAATCTATGATCATGCATCATGTAGCATTAGGAATTCATGATACTATGGCATATAGTTAAAGTTATGATTTACTTTACTATTTAGTGCAGTGTATATTTTCATTGTAAATCCATGTCTTGTGTATCATGCGTTATCTTGTCATGCCTTGGACATTTCTTTACTTTTCTTAGATGAACTATCATTATTTATGTCATTTAGACTAGGACATACTTCTATGGTTACACTTCCCTATACGTTATAAAGCGTGAACCATGTAATTGATTAAATGATGATTGATAACATGGTTGAAGGGAATTTTTTATCAATATATAGAGTATTAGCAGTGAAATTTTAAAAAATTTCAACTCCTTAAAGCAAAGATCAATCAATAAGATCATACAAATACAATAATTAATTTTGATTAGTAGTATATTACCTCTTGTGCTGACTTCACTTTGGCCAAGCAAGAGATCACCAAATTTGTTTTTGCAAGCCTAGAGCTATCAAAACATGTACCCTTTAATGATGATCCATAGGAACAAGGTGAAAAAACATCCCTAAGGGATGGGAAGAACTCAAAATTGAAATCTCTAACTAGTGAGATTAGTGTAGACACCTAATTTTGTATGGGATATTTTATTCTTTTTATATGAGCTCGTTTTTCCAATTGAGTCCAACCTTCATTTTTCGAGCCTAATACATAACCCATTTTTAAATTCTCCATATAAGGCCCAATGTGAACCCCATAATAAGGCCTGTTGTGTAAGCCTAATTAAATGCCCAAAATGGTCCAATAAAAGGCCCGATAAAAGGATTCTTTCTTGAAGCCCATTAATGGCCCATTGTTGACCATTAAACAAAAAATCAAATAAAAAATAAAAAATAATAATAACAAAAATTTTTAAAATTTTTAATTAATTAAAAATTTTAAAAGTTATAGTATAAAGTAATAAATAAATAACTAACCAAAATAATAAAAAATTTGGTCTAAAAACTAATAAAAATTTAAAAGTCTAAAAAAAAAAAGAAAAAAAAAAAGAAAGCAAATGAAAAAAGACAAAAAAGAAAAAAATGGATTCCAAAATCAAAATTAAAAAGGCCCACCACCAAAAAATATATAGTCTACGCCCAAAAAACCAAAAGGCCCGAATGGGCCATAAAATGTAGTTAGGACTTGTTAGAATTGGCCACCTCATGTGTTAAAAAAAAAAAACAACAATACAGGGCACGAAATAGGCATGACATGAAGAGAAAAGCTGCAAAAGGGAAAGAATGGTTGGGTCATGGGATGATGGCTACATGAAGGTGTGAAGCAACAAAAAAAAATAAACTGCAATAGAAGCAAAAACAAGGAAATGTGGTCGACTAGTTAAAGATTCAATGAAGAAAAAAGTAAAAAAAAAAAAAAAGAATGGGAAACATTGGTGAAGGGAAAATAAGCAAAAACTGAAAATGTGAGAGACAAAAAAGAGAAAATGCGAAGGGGAACAAAAATGGGGAATACATTACAAGCAAAAAGCAAAAAGCAAAAACCAATATAAGAGAAAAAAGTAGTAGAAAAACTGAAAAAAAAAAAAAAAAAGAGAAAGGAGTGGCATAGGGAAGATGAATGTAAAGCAATAGCAAAACAAAAAGAAAAAACAAGAGAAGATAAAAGGCATTAAAAAAAAAGAGTCACAAAGAATGGTGGTAGCGAAAGAGGAAGAACAAACATGAAAACTAGTAAAAAATGAACAATAAACATGAGAATTAATAGAAAATAAACCATTAAAAAGGAAAACAAAACAAACACAAAAAAGAAGTATGAACGAGAAAGACCAGTATAAAAAAATTGAGCCAAAAAAATGAAACAAGTAGCAAAAAACTGGTAAAAAAATTAGAAAAGAAGTATTGAAAAAATTTAAAGAAAAAGATAGGAGAATTGTAGTACTAAAAGAACAAAGGAGAAAGAGAAGCTTTGCATGCAAAAAAGGAAATGAGAAATTGTTGGGCCTGAATCAATAAACAAAATAATACGGAAGTAATGTATTGTAATAAACCCATAGCAATAGACAACAATCAATAATTCAAAATGCAGGACAAATAAAGCACACCAAGATTTACATTAAAAACCCTCAAGTGTATAGAAAAAAAATCACAGACCATCATAAAAATCTCCATTATCAAATAATGCATATACAAAGTTCTTTTCTAATTAAAACTAGGGCTAATCAACAACTAAAGAGATAATTAGAGAAATCTTACTAAATAGGTGACTAAACAAATCACCCTAGATTTATTCCTAGAGAGCTTCAACCTCGATCGCCACTATTCAAAATGTAGAACTCTGAATCATAAACTTGCTGATAAAATTTTAGCTCAACGAATCACGGATTGACTTTCATTCAACCAACTTTCCCTTCTCCCTTTCCTCTCTAATTTTTTGGCTTTTGTTCTTTTTCTTCTTTACGGTGCCACCACTCTGTTTCTTTTTTTTTTTACACCAAAATAGCCATTATTTTATTTAATATGTAGGACTCATTTTTTTAATTAAAAGGT